AAACTAAACAGCCTACAGTGTTTTTACAGTCTTTATTTTACAGTTAAAATATATGTTTATTAAATAAAGTCTAATGTTAAAACTAATCGTGGATCCTTTAAACAGTAATTCAGTAAAGGACTCGGCTGCGTCTCATTTTCCTTTGGATTTMGACACCGTGCAGTATTGGACACAATAAGTTTGTTTTGATTTCAACGGTTTGGATCAGTATCTGGAAAAGTCTCTTCCTGTAGTTTCTGTGTACCTGGATAGATTACTTCATACTGATAATGTCACAAGTTTCAGCTTGCCTGACAGTCTGACAGTTTCAGTTCACACAGTCCTCTGGACTCTAGACTGAGACAGCAGCCAGTTTTAATCCATTAAAAAGTGGGAGGCACATTTACAAACTGGTGTAATTTGTACACTTTTCACCTGATTTTAATGTTAATGATTTTAATGTTAATTAAAAGTCTACAGTTAAAACACAAGTTTTTTTTTTATTTCAAGTCCCTCATGGTGCTAAAAACATGAGAACTGTGTCAATGTCCCAATATTTATGGACCTGGTTGTATGTCTGTATTAAAATGATTATTAATGATTGTGTTTTGATTTGCCGCATATTTGTAAATAATCAGTTTTTTTTGTAATGACAGACTGTTTTCTAACTGTATGCCTCCACACAGTCTTATTATGCACAAAAGGTAAAAATATTTTCCTTTTCAACAGGACCGACAAAAGTCCAGTCCAGCCCCAGAACCCATCCAGCAACAACAGGAGTCTACCGGGACCAGAATGCGGTCCAGGGGAGGCTCAGGGCCTGGAGGAGGAGATGGTGGAGGTGGTGGAGGGGGCACTGGGAGCAGCCCAGAGCAGAACGGGCAGCCCCCCACCCCTCGTCCTCCTCTAGTGCTGGAGAACGAGGAGGAYGAGGACGAGGAGATGACCCTTAAATATGGAGCTAAGCACGTCATCATGCTCTTTGTTCCTGTGACGCTCTGCATGGTGGTGGTTGTGGCCACCATCAAGTCTGTCAGTTTCTACACCCAGAAGGATGGACAGAGACTGTGAGTGTTTTTATCAAAACCTGTACTTACACAGAGGAACTTAATGTTGGGCCTCATGCAGCTCCTCTGAAGAGGCTACTTAGAACTTCGACCAAAAATGACACAAACCTGAGTAATGTTCAGATTTAAACATATGATACTGTCGGGTACAACAGCAGTTTTTCCATCCAGAGTTTTTCAAATCATACTTTAGAATATTTGCAGCACAATGACAGGTGGTCAAGCTGCACCTTCAGTCACCAACCCTTATTGAAGCATAACTCAAACTACACACACACATAAATCGTGTTTCCATCCAATTACATCCAATTTTAATTTGAATTTTGAGTGAATTTTAATAATTTCGCAAAAAGGAAAAAATTAAGAAATGCAAATCGGACGGAGTTTCCATCAACTGGCTTGAAGCGAATCAATTACGTCATAGGCATGTGCGTTGTAAACAGGAAGTAACCGTCACTAAACTCACAGGGTCCACACATCTCAGGATAATGGAGAGAAGTTATCAGGAACGTGTTGCTACTATCAGGAAAGTTGTAATTATTCTGTTATCAACTAGTTTTGGTGATGTTACTGCTGTCTGGAGACGTAGAGAAAGAAATGCAATTTTCTTCACGTTACGGGATTACTGAGAAGACACAAACAGCGGGAGGAGGGTTCTGCTGCCAGTCGCGGCTGCAGCCGACCCGAAACAGGTACCGGGAAACAGCTCATCAGCTACGTGAGGAAAATGTTCCCTACGTCACAACTTATCTCTCCTTTTGTGCATTAAGTGTTTTTCGAAAACCCCCAAAACCACCTCAAGCAAGCGTAAAAACTTTTTAGCGAATTGAGGATTTTTATTTTTTCGAATTTTGCTGTTTCCATCCGACGTTTTTTCACATTTTTAATGCGACACAAAAATCAAAAAGTCTTGATGGAAACACGTTGTAGAGAACAGTTTAAATTCAGACTCTTATTTTGAAGTGAAGATGGTTTCTTATTCTCCATCCTGTACCTAGAATGCATCGCTTGAGTGCTACAATAAACAGTTAAAAATTACCAATAAATCCTGCATGTTTTCTTACTGAAGCCCAACCATAAACATAAGAAAATGACCAAGAAGCAGCAGAACTAGCAATCCCCAACAWCTGTTTATTTAACACCATGAGCCAAAAGTCTGTTTCAAAAAATCACCTCCACATACTGCAGCATCATGTACAATGCTGTGAAAGTAAACTGTCGTGCCTCTAGTTGATAGTATTGCACAGGAGTGGCTCATGTTGTTACTGGAATTTACTCTGGTGAACTCTGAGACAAATTTGCACTTTTAGCTTCCACTAAGTTTTATTGGGCATTTGGGCTTTAGAACTTGTGGACTTAAATAATTTAGCTAGTGATTTAGAATTTGCACAACTAACTTTTCAGTTAGCGCTGCCCACCAATTGGTTATTAATTAATATAAAGCAAGGTTTTCAAAATTCAGGGAATTTTTTACAGGAGTGATCCCAGAATTTTAACGTATTGAAAATATAAAACAAAGTTGGGAAAATATATTTTAAATTAACCTTGACTAAAACAACCAGATTTCATAAAAGTATGTTTGAATACATCTATAATTCTATATACTYGATCACATGCACATTATAAACACTTTCCCCTACATGCAGCATGCATTCATCACCTGCAAAAATGATCTCTGGAACCCTAAACTAATTATTAGAGAATTTTAAATTTTAAGTCATAATTATTGTTGTTTTTAACATGCCACCACTAGATGACGGAAACAAATTTTTTAATTTTTAATATAAAATCTCAACATTTCTGTATTTTTCCATATAAAATAAAATGTTGGTGTTAGAACATCAGAAAGGAAATCCAAAGTAAGAGCTGAATCAATGATGGTATTTAGCTGCGTGCAGTTTTTGGAGTGTGTTTCAGATTGATTGAGCGGTTTCCAGTTTGGAATAAGCCTGTCGTGATAGTCAATAAATTAATTAATTGCACGATAAATTTTTTTGAGGTCAGTAAAAAAAAAAAGAGGACGATAAGTTTCATTTTCCTGCTTGTTGGTTTACTTCGTCTCTCTCCCTCTGTGCTCCACTGCACAGGAGCTCAGCTGACCCCTCCCCTCCTGTTTTCTTAGTGTGGGAGGAGTCAACTCTCACTTTAGCATGAGAGCTCGTAGCAATAACAAACTAAAGAAACRTTTCAAAGCAGAACGCGGCTGCTGCAGTGTCGGAGCACTAGAGCCTGAAATTCGCTGCGGGGAGACACAGAGAGAGGGGGGAGGAGGAGAAGGGGTGGGGGCTGAAACTCCCCCAGACCC